AAAAAAATACATTTTTAATAAAATGAAGTCAAAACAAGAACTTTAGCAAAAATTGGGGATAAATGTATTTTGAAATAATGATTTTTGAAGAATGCGTATAGTCAAAATAGAAGAAATTTTTTTGAATTTACCTGTAATTTTTTTATTTTATTATAGAATGTATGTTTAAAAAAAAAGTAAAAAAATACATTTTTAACAAATTGAAGTCAAAACAAGCGCTTTAGCAAAAATTGGGTGACTCGCCCAAATGCTTCCCTTTCTTTCCATGTTATCCTGTTAACATCATCATACCCCACCATCCCATTAAACCCCCGCCCCACCTCCTCTTTCCCTCTCATTTAACCTCAGTGACTCAGTCCTCAGTGATCCTTAAAGAATCCTGTGCTCTACAACACCAACAAAAAAGCCTAAACAACAGGTAATTGATCAATCGATCGATCAAATCAAGACGTGATGAGTGGGTCCTGACTGAATCGACTCATTGGCTTCGATCAATTATAATCGAGGAGTCGATAATTTTGATCAAGAATCTCGACCTGCTCTAGGGTTTAATTTTATTTAATTTTGTTGTCGATGGAATCGGATGATGATATGCATGATGCTAATGACTTGGCGTCAGCGGAGGAGGAAGATGATTACTATAGCGGCGGTGAGGAGGAAGTAGATGACTACAACTACAGCTATGATGAAGCTGAGGACGAGGACGAGGAGAACATTGAAGATTTCGAATTTATGGCTAATGAGTCTGATGACGTTCCTGTTAGTCGCTTACAGGTGTGTGAATTCCAAATTTTCGCCCCTTTTGTATTTATCTTGGCATTCTTCGCTAGTTGCAGTCCAAATTCCTCAAATTTCCTCGGGCTACTGCATATGTTCACGACCGACCTTGTTAATGGGGAACGGTGTCATTGTGTATGAAATTTAAGTTTCTTTTGTGAAGCGAGCTATCATTTTGTGTTCTTGCGCTATAAGTTTATAGATTATAGGGTTTAACCATTTAACTCATATATAACTGTGAATTTCACCGGAAAGCCAAAAGCTTTATGGCTTTTTATTCTGAAGAAAAAAACATGTTTTGATTTACATATTTTATTATTTTCATACTACATTAAAGTGTCTCCACTTCAGTATGTTGCCAATCAAATTGACGTGAATTTTAGTGCTGATAATTTATAGAATGTTAAGCTTGTTTCTTGCGGAAGGCTGTTGATGGTAATACTTCTCTTTTTTTGAGGAAATGTACAATAAGCAAGCTGAATTGTGTTAACAAAGGCTAATATGTATCTGTAACGGCTGATTTTCCATAGGTATTAGCTATGTAGGGGGTTCATTTAAGAAGTTTCAGCTATTCTCTCAATGATTCTGATCAGATGAATGGAATTTGGGTTAGAAAGGAGGGTTAAGAGAGACAAAATTCAATCTCTGTTCATCTCTTATATGATTCTGACACTTATTGGCATTAATGGAGCCAATGCTGCTTAACAAACACAGTTAATTAAGCTGGTTTCTTTTCAGAGTTGGAAAAATAAATTTCAATATTGCATTGCTTTTGACTAAATCAACTTGAAGCTTCAAATTTTATGCTAACAAATGCAACCTCCATACTATTAGAGATGCTTTATTGCATATTTGGTGGGGGTGAAATGAAGTGGAGGAGCGCTTTTTCTTAATATTTTGTATACAATTTGGAATTAAGAACAATGAAAAGAAAACTATTCTTTTATCTCATTTCTAGAACTATCTCTCTCGCACTTCTTCTTCTCCTTTAAAAATAGAAAAAAGAAAAAAAAAAAACTTGAAAGAACGAATGATATTTAGGAGAAGAAATGTCCAGATTAGCCAGATCTCTGAATTCAAGGAGGCCTTCAGACTTTTTGACGAAGATGGCAACTTTCATGTCTGCTATTGCGCTGCCCCATATGATAGCCATGCAAGACTAGGAGCTTCGGAGAAATTTCGTTATTTTGACATGGATCAGAAAGGTTTCACCTCTGCTGCTGAGCTGTGCCACGTGATAGACAATTTTGACGAGAAGCTGACCAATGAGGAAGTAGATGAGATTTCTAGGGTGGCTGATGTTGAGTGTGATGGATAAATCAATAATGAAGAGTTTGTCAAGGATTTAATGGCAAAGACTCAAATTCATGTTCTTGGAAACTTGGAAAGGTTTATGAATAAAAAAAATAAAAAGAAAACTAAAGAAATTGATGGATAGGGTTGATTAGTATAATGAATTTCTAGTATCCTTTTTCACTATTTAATTTTATGGCTTTTAAATTCAAACTTTGATGATTTCTATGGTCAATAGTAATGTTGATGGAATCTTAATTGTTTATGTGATGTGTCTCGTAACTTTTATTTGATAGAATTAAAAGTTTTCTTCCATTTGTTAGTCCTCGTGATCTTATCATTTTATCATTCTTGGTGAGAAGAACTATGTTTGAATTTTTGAGGCAGGAGGTAAAATGGGAGTGTTTAATGTATGACTTTGAGAAAGTGAATTTGTTTATTCCACCTTCTTTATTTGTTTTCATCGAATTTATGTGTTGAACTTATGTTCCAGAAAAATTACACCGTCTTGACGGACGAAGATATACGACAACGTCAGGAGGAAGATATTACTAGAATTTCTACTGTTCTTTTGATTTCAAGAGATGCAGCATGTATACTTCTTCGCCGCTATAAGTGGTAATCTCCTTACCCCTTGATTTTGCAAAACAATTGAAATCTATCTGTGATTCTCACATTAATTTTTATCTGGTTGTGTCAGTTTGACAATTTTGTTTGGAACAATTTGTGTACGCATTATGAGACCATCACTTGTTAATGTTTAAACTTAACATGTGAATTTGTTTGGAGTAATTTGTGTATGCATTGATTGACTGTAATTGCCATCAGGCTTATTTTCTGTATGATACTACATTTCATTGTGGATACTTGCCCCCCGCTTGACGATATTTTTGAATATTTGAGTATCTAGGAGTGTGAATGATGTGCATGAAGAATGGTTTTCTGATGAAGAAAGAGTTCGCAAAGCAGTTGGCATATTGGAGAAGCCACTGGTTCAATTTTCAAATGCTAAAGAAGTAAATTATCGATTATACTGAAAACTTCCTGGTCTCTTCTAAACCTGATTTAATGTATTTTAAACTCGTTCAGAATCTCCCTTGGCAGGTAACTTGTGGGATCTGTTTCGAGAACTATTCCCTGGAGCGGATATGTACTGCTGTATGTGGTCATCCTTTCTGTGACTCGTGCTGGAAAGGTTTGTAACTCTATGTTACACTACGACTAGCTTTGGGCTGACTGATTTTTAGTTGAAATTAGTTGGTATTTTGCATTTGATTATGGCCTATATCAGTTGGTCAATGTATAACAGCATTGATGGCAGACATTAGTGGCTTTATGAGAATTTAAGTTTCCTGATACCATCTTTGTTAGTATTATTTAAACTGCTGTTTAGATAGCTTGTTTTGGTGCATTTGGGGTGTTAAATGGTGGACTTGAGTATCGTCTTTCCTTTTGTTTTTTTTTTTTTTGGGCTCTTAAAAAGTTGGATAAACTTTCTAGAAGACAAAGAGCCTGTCAGAAATAATTAGCCAACAGTTACCTTTATTCTCGGACATTTACATTTCCAGCCTTTCTGCAATCTGAAATATCAATTTTTCTTGATTTATTTTCTCTGTTCGTTCTGACAGCTTACATTAGCACATCCATCAATGATGGCCCTGGATGCTTGACCCTGAGGTGTCCTGATCCATCTTGTGGTGCTGCCATTGGTCAAGATATGATTAATATGTTGGCACCCGATGGAGATAAGGAGAAGTATTGCCGATATCTTCTTAGATCTTATGTTGAAGACAGTCGAAAGGTAAATAATATACACTTTTGTGGAACCATAACATTTTTATTCATAGCATGTATATTGTTAGACTGTAAGCGCTGCACAGGTTTTTTTAACTATCTTTGTTCTAGCCTGTTATGGTAAGTAAACTGAATTGCACTAAATCATGTGTACATTGTTATTTTTTTGATGACCTTGTAATTAAAAGAGAATTGCTAGTTCTGAAAACGTATATCGTTATTTTTTTATTAGAAAATCATATAAAGGTAGTATGTGGTTTTGGTGATGAGGATGCTAGTTAATCGTATTGTTTTGTTTGAGTCTCTATTACAGAACAAACGTTTCACACAAGCATTTTTTGTAAATTTCAAACATCACTGTATTGGATGTTGATTTAGAGATTAGGACAGAAGCTAACTATTCATAGGAATGGCTTCAACTTCTCCTCAAGGCTTTCAATGCCCCCTGAGTAGAGATTTGAGGTTATTTTATTTTATTTTGGGTTGTTTTTTTTTTTTTGGGGTGGGGGGG